TCTAACTAACTCTAGAAACATCTAAACCTGACGCTCTGATACCACTAAATGCAACATCTTAAACTGATTCAACACACATTCGATCAATTAGAATGCCACACGGGACCACCAAAGTGACTAACCTAAATTTTTTTACTACTTGTTAAAACCACAATTTAAGCCATTTTGAATAAATAAATCATTCATAAAATATATATACACAATTCTATTGGCGAGCTCCCAAAATAAGTATCTCAAAATAATACAACCCAATGTTTCAAAATAAAGTTACAACTTGAATATATAAAAATGGTATATAAATTATACATGCCCTCTAAAGAAGATAAAGATGCATTCTACTTACACTTAGTTTGGATATCGACTGCTCAAAAAGCTCCTTAAACGCTCTTCATCCTAACCTGCGTAAAGAAGAAAATTTCAAACGCTGAGCTCACTAGCCAAATGTCACACTAACAACTAAACCATACTAAAAGTGTTTAACAAATGCTCAAGCTATCAAGTACAATACAATAGTGAGTATACTCGTATTCTTCACTCGCTACTCTCTAGTAGACATCATGGTGTGGTTGAGGGTTCTACATCTAGAAGCTCACACACCCCTCTAATCTACCAAAGATTAGGCCCATAATCTCTACATCGGACACAACACCCTTGACTAATCCACCCTTCGTGAGTGTCAGGCCGACCTTAGTTAGTCAGTTTAAAGTGCCTCACGCACTACCTAATGATATCCGAACTGATTCTATTTCTAGGCACCAATAACATTACTAAAGTAACTCGGGTGTCCTTGTTTTACCAAGCATCAACCAAGGCTAGTTTTATGTCTCCCTAATTGATCTCGCTTCTAATGTATTCAATCTTTAACATGGTTTCACTTATAGTCTTATTGATAGCAATTAAAGGGTTATTGAGAAACCTCATCACACCTTAAATCCCCTTGGAATTAAATCCCCAAAAAGTATGATAGTACCGATACTAAACCTCTCGGTATCGCTATTCCACCTACAATATTGATACTCAACAAAAATATTTAACTAAGAAATAAGGGGTGATATTGATACTCTCAAGATGTGGTACCGATATTGACTAAGGTATCGATATCAAAATAGCATTCTGGAATTTGATTTGTGTTCCCAGTATCCATACCACTTCGTAGGTATCGATACCAGCATTGCAATATCGATACTCCGTTGATGATCGATACTCCCTTTCAATCTTTGGCTATTTTTACCCTGGCTGAAGAACATTATCGATCATGTTCTTACAGTACCGATACCCCTAAATGCCCTACTTGTGCTTGAAATTAACACTCAAACTCACCTAAATTTATATTGAGGTTCCCAATCATTAGTAGTGTTTTATGTGAGATTATGAGATAAATAAGGCTTTGAAACATGTTATAACACTAAAACATTGAATCTACCATGAAAATCCTCAATATGTTTTAAACTCAACTCTTAAGCTAGAATGCATTTCTAATGACCCAAAAGGGTATGAAGAAGAAGAGAATGTTTTACCTTGCTTTCTTGACTGCTAGAAACATCCTCCAATCACCCGAGAGACAATTTTATTTTCCCCTTGCCCTTGTGCTCTCTCCCATTTCTTTCACTAATCAAAGGTAAGAAAAGAATTACTACTCAACCAAGTAAGTATTTGGATTGAAGTTAAAAAAACTTCCTATAACTTGAATCCACTAAAAACAAGCTAGAATCCATTGATTCTCTAAACCTTCCTAAAACCCATTTTGAAAGTTAAGCCTAAAACTTGAGATATAGGACTTAAATTGAAGCACTTTGGTTGAAGATAAACATTCTAACCTTATCTAAACTCAACTAAGCTTGAAATGCATAAAGCTTTGACCATTGTTTCACTTGGGAGAGGAAGAAGAAAATAGGAAATATTAAGAGAAGAGGAAAAGTGTTTGGCGAGTATTAAGGGAAGTAGTTCACGTAAAATCATAAAAAAAATAAGGAGTTTTCAATTCTAGATTTGAAAATGGGTTAATTACTTTGGTCATCTTCCTTTTTATCTCTTAAAAATCATCCCAACATTCTATCAATTGAGCCCAACCTAAGCCCACTTCCGATTTAACTAGGTCCAAACTATTCTAATAGGTCTTTTGGACTCTATTATAAGTCTCAAGTCAACTCAAACTACTAACTCATGATTTGGTATGTACAACTGAGAATTAAATGAATTATTAAAAAATTAAAATTACCCAATCAATTTTATCATTAATGACTAATAAAACCTAATAACGAATAAAATATTAATGATTTAACTGATAACAGCCTCATATTTTAATTATTAAATAGATAATTTACTTATTTTGTAATAAAAAAATTAAGTCCTACTAGGGTATACCACAAGTCTAGAGGGCTAACAATGATCTCATAGGTCACTCGCGAATGTTTTGATTATATAAACTTGAGGGAAAGGTTATCCCAATTCCCTAGGATCAAGGCATGCCACAACTTAAATATTAGCGTCAAATAAAATTAAGTGGTAAAATCATGTATTAAAATCTAATCATATCCATTTGAGAGTCAAATCAGATAGTTGAGAAGAAAAAAGAATTTAGCATAGTTCTCAGAATAAACAACCCCCAAAGCAAAATCTAAAAGACCTTACCATAGTGTTATTTCTCCCGGAATTTCTATGCATAAACAACTTTAACAACACTAATGGAAACCCAGAATCGCCTAAAAGCCATTGTTTCATTATTAACACTACCAGACAGCCGTGAAATGCACGATAGAAATGGAACCCCAGATGCAATTATGTTACATAATGCCGAATTCTGTACTGACAAATAGGGTGTTCAAATAACCGAACTAATTCGGTTAACCGATCGAACTGAATTAGTTTGATTAATTCGGTTCGGTTACCGAATTAGTTCGGTCGGTTAACGGTTAATTTTTTTTAAAATTCGGATAACGGTTAATTCGGTTCGAATTCGGTTAATTAACCGAATTAACCGAAATTAAATTTTAAATATTAAATATATTATATAACATATAGACTCAGCCCAAACCATTTAAAACCCAATTAATAATTAAGATCCAATAACTTTTAAACCTAAATCAATATAATTAATTAAAAAAAATATAAATTTTTTTATAATTATATTATTTAAATTAATTGTAAACTATTTTTTTAATTAAAATATTAAATATAAATACATTTAGCCTAAGCCCAAACAATTTAAAACTCAATTAATAATTTAAGATCCAATAACTTTTAAATCTAAATCAATATTAATTAATTAAAAAATTTATCTGAAATTTTTATTTTATAATTATATTATTTAAATTAATTATAAACTTTTTTTGAATTAAAAACATTTAATTTTTATATAAATTAGAAATTTTTTATAAAAAATTCGGTTAATTCGAAAATTAACCGAATTAACCGAAATTAATTCGGTTCGGTTAATATGTTTGAAAAAAAATTCGGTTCGGTTAACGGTTAAAGAAAAAAAAAGTTCGGTTAATTCGGTTAAGGGTAGTTCGGTTCGGTCGGCCATCGTTTTAACCGAATGAACACCCTACTGACAAATGATAACACTAAAGAAGATACATGCAGCATGTTTATGACACGGATTATGCCTAAATGGGACACTGACTGAACATGGATCCATGGTTAAATTTCTCTAAGCTGGTCAGTTAAAGAATTTACTAAACCCTTGAAGCCTACACAGAGTCAACCAGTCATCTAGAAACTTCTACACGTGAAGGCTCAAGTTTTCCATCAACACTTTTATGATCCTGTTCGGCGGCAGCACCAACGCTACGCTCTTTTAAACCAGAACAATCGGTGCCGCCATTTACTGCTTCAGTCGATGTTGAATGTCATTTGCAGGCTGATCAACGTTGTCAACATTCCATTCCCAACAACTCTGGTTCCCATAACCCCATTGAACCCACCTGCTGCTGCACCACGAGATCAACCCCGCTGTTCATAAGCAGGATAGACGGATGGACTGCCGTAAGGCAGCGGGTAAACTCTAGGTCCTAGCATTACAGGGGCATATAAAGGGCCTCTAGGAGTAGCTGGAGTGACACCATAACCAACCCTACTGTAGCCATAGGGTACCCATAGCCATAAACACCTGTACCATATAAATAATCCCCAACTGGATTATGCGCAGGAGGAGGAGCATAGCCAGGAAACATTCCATATCCAGAACCATTCGAAGTGAACTCAACAGCCTGAAAACCATCATAAGGAGACCCCCTTACAGCACCAGGCTTCATGTTTTGATTACTGTAACGACCATTACTTCCCTCTTTCGGAACTGCACGCTTGACTTCCACGAGCCTATTATTCAACTCATGGAAATTCTTCTGCATTGCGTTCTCCACAGACTCCTTGAGTCAAAAGTAACAAACCCAAATCCCCTTGGCGGTTAGTCAAACTGTCATGCATCACAACAAGTCTGTTATCCTACCGAAACTTTCGAAAGAATTCCTAAATTCTTCTCAGTTAGAGTAGCAGATAAACCCCCTACAAAAAGTTTCTTAGTCCTAAAGTACTGTCAGCAGCATCATTACCATTCATACAGAACCCACTTTTCTGTTGTTGATTTGAATAGTGCTGCTGCTGTTGTTGGTTCTGAAGTGATCGTTTCGGGGTATCGCTTTTTTCACTTCTACCTAGAAAACCCATTCATAAATCATACGCATTAAACAACCTAAAATCCTGCAAGCTATCATTTCCACAAACAAATTTAAAATCTAAAACTTCATTCTAAGTACAATTCATCAATGTCTAACAGCGAGAAAACAGAGTATAAAATGAAGGAGAGATTCAAGAGAGCTTGGAACTGACCGTTCTCCCTAGGATAACATGGGTGTCTTGAAGAGCTTTATCAGCTGAGGAAGATTCAGAGAACATAACAAAGGCGAATCCACGAGGCTTTGGTGTTCCTGTCTTTAGCTACAATGAGCTCAATACGGTACCGATTTGCCGAAATGATCCATGAGAATAGCTTCACTTGTCTCCCGAGATATCCTCCCACAAACAGTTTGCCTTACAAACAGACACCCGTTTGACCGGACTTAAATAATATATTTATTATTATTATTATAATTACTTATTATTATTATTATATTATTAATACTATTAATATTATTTTTGCAGACTCCACTACCCCACTATTATCTCAACTACCACTACCCACCTACTCCACTACCACATGCATCAGGAGCAAATGGCATGGATTTGGAGTGTTTGAAATTAGCTTTAAATAAGAGGGGACTTTTTTGAATTAGGGGGAGGGAAATTCCTCTCCTCTGCTCTCAATTCTCGCCATTTCAAGAGTATGGGGGGAATATCTTCACATAACACATTCTCAAATTTCACCCAACTGGCAGCCTTTCCTTTCCTTTCTTTTGAGAGATAACTTCAAAGATTTCCAGAAACTAAAAGTTGAATTCCTTTGTATTTCCACAATTTTCTCACCATGATCTCCTTGCACAAAAGCTATTTTCTGAACAACACCGGCATTCTGGGTCGTGAAATAGCAGCGTTTTGTTTGGGAACAACCACCCATTGAAAGAAAAAAAAATGATCTCGATTCCACTGTTTCCGGCGAAGACCCTGGGCTCTCCTACGACTCACACCACCACTCTTTCAATTCCCATTTTAACTTCAAAATCAATTTGATTTTGGTTTGCGTCTTTTGACTCGTTTCTTTTCCATTTGTGTATAGAGATGATCGATGATGGGGGCCGAGGTGAGCGAATCCGAGAGCTCTTGTGGTTTTTTCCTGTCATCGTCTTGAGCGAGGTGTTGTATACCTGTGACAACGAGCTGTTTCCTCGTCGCGATGCCAACAACAGAACCAAGGCTTTGAAATAAACTCGTCGCCATCATCGATCTTGATGGTCGTGCTCTCGGCGTTTCACTCCCGATTCTCGCCAAGAAGATCACGACGTTTCGACCGGAAAACAACGCCTTCTTCCTAATCAAAGCATTCGTTGCCGGTGTAATTCTCGCCACCGCCTTTGTCCATATACTCCACGACGGATACGAGTCCTTGTCCAGCCCTCGCTTCAGCGAAAAGCCTTGGAGTGTTTTCCCTTTCCTGCTTCTCACCATGGTCTCGGCCATAGCACGATGATGATCGACACGTTCGCGACGAGTTGCTACAAGAAGTCGCATTTCAACAAGGCTTTGCCGGTGAATGGAGGAGAGGAGGTGAACGGGAAGATTGCTTCAATGAAGGCGATTTCCATCATTCTTCGACGAGAAACCACCAAAGCTCTATACAACAAAAATGGCCAAAAATGTCCACATAGAGAATTTGTGTGTATATACATGTCTGAGAAAATGTGATGAGATGAAACAAATGCCCAAAAGGCAGTGAATGGAGATTCTAGTTTTTTTCTGAGCAGTAGCTTTCATGGTATGTCGTGTGCTTGCTCAGGTGAACAATTAAGTTCAAAATGCATCGCGGTCGCCGGAATCATTGGCGACCAGAGATTTCTCAGCCAGTGGACTTTCGTCTCGAACCGAGACTAGGAATCGAAACACGTTGAAGAGGTGGATGGTAGCTTCCTGGACCGAGCTGATTTCCAAACAGAGAAATGGTGGAGCATATGGCAGTCGGTCTTCAGCTACACCAAGGTTTGCAGATACTTATCCTGTTTTAAGTATCGGTTTTTGTGAACTAATTATTTAATTGATGTTTTCTGTGTTGGGCCTCTCGGTTTAGTGCACCATGTCTAAATGAACATGAAAACTTCCTTGAGAAAATGCATGCGTGAAAGCATGCACATCAATTGAAGAGATTTGTCTGTTAATGGTATCTAGTAACCATGGCTTTTGGAGTAGTTTATATTAATTTATATGTTTTTGCTGTTGTGTATCCGCCAATATATATATAATTTGACTGTGTAAAATACCAAGTAAAATATATGAACATTAGATGCTCATGTCTGCTACTCAAATGCGGAACTTATATATAATTTACCGTGTGATGCTTATTTTGGTTTTTTAAAGAATTTCAACAAAATTAAAGGTAAGTAATTTGAATCGGGTTTTTAATTTTAATTTAAGTTTCCAATTTCGCAATTAAAGACAATCAACAAATTAATTGGTACCGAAAGGACGGTTCAAGGGTGCTAAAGGACGGTTCAAGGGTGCTAATCCTTCCTTGGACGTAATCGACTCCCGAACCCGACACGTTTCTGGTACAACGCAGATCAGGTAAGATGGTGTCCGACCCACCTAAATTCGTTTTTAAAGTGGTCGGTGGCGACTCCAACCCAATTATTTCAAGTCGAAGCCCAATTCCGGGGCCCAAACCGAAAGGCGGTTGCGACACCTTGGCGACTCCGCTGGGGAACGAACCCAGAGTCTCGCCGAAATTAATTTTCGGTTGTCTTTTTATGCGAAAATGGTAAATTTAAATTAATTTATTTATTCGATTCCAGTATTTACCTTTGATTATTTTTCAAATAAATAGTGTACTAACATTTTTTTATGATTTCAGAGATTTTTGAAAAGTTTCTATCTCAAGCTCTATATCGAGCTCCAAACCCTTTAAGTGGGGGTGAAAGCGACGCATTCGTGTGAATTTATTCACCGCATATGCCTAGCAAGTAGCCTTCGGGATTCATATACCTTGTGTCTTCGTGTGAATTTATTCACCGTGCGGGCATAAGGGAATGTTTCCTCTCGAGTTTAACTAGTCCACACAAGCATGTGATGGGTTTAGGACTAAGGGTCTGGCAAGCCCAAGGGGGCACAGCAAGGAGAACTCGAGTACCATTTTAGAACCTAAACCGGGAGAGTGCAGGGAATTAGAGCCCACCCCAAAACCTCATTCCAAACCCTAGGCTGTTTTATTTCCTACTTTATTTTCTGCTCAAAACATGCGAACTAGACAAATATGCGGTTAGGATTTGTTGAAATTAGCATGCGGGATAGAGATCATGTCCGAGTAGGAATTAAAGCATGTGGGGTAGATATCATGTGGGGTTAGGATTTTTTCATTTTTATTATTGTTTTGATTTACCTCACTAACTCTTTTTATTTTTTGTTTTTTTTATTCTGTTTTCATCATTCGCATCATTTAAAACGAGGTGTTGATCCACCAAAAATGTGTTTGTTAAACATGAATAATCAACCATTAATGGACCAAAAGGTGTTGTAATACAAGAGATGAAAATGCAGAGGGCAGTCACAAGGCGACTATGTGTCACCTTCAATCCAGAGGACGTGGTGCCCGCAATTGAAGAGTATCATCATTACTGCATTATAAGGACTCAATAAATCGGGTCTACATCAAGCACAATGAAAGTCCATCTTTGAAGAACTGACTGGCGAAGTTGCAGGGCAAGATGAAGACCACTGATCTTAGGATTCACTTCAAAGACGACAATGGCAAAACGATAACTGAAATTGAAGACCATACTGACGAATTCAAGAGAAACAGACAAATGGACTTCACATAGTTCCTATCAATTAAGGGCTCCAATGACGTATTCGTTGGGAACAGACTCAACAAAAGATAAACGTCAGAGGTGCAGTCCTTCGAGATTTTTTTAGGGCAAACAACTCATCATTTGCACGGTTCATCCAGAGAAGCCAGAGCGGTTCGACAGGTTATCAGCTGGTGGCGGATGAAGGCGGAAGACTAGTCAACATGTCAGAAGCTGTCAGAATATTTTTGTCTCTTAAAAGATAAAATACTTTTGTCCCAATAAGGATATTTCTAATAACATGCACATTTTTGGATCAATGCCTCGAATATTTCATGCATCATGCATTCAGACATATTGTGCGTTTTGTTATTTTTCTTTACATTCACATTAACTATTCACATATTTCATCAAAAATGAGAACATTCGATCCTATGACCTACCAAAGAGCTCTACAAATAATTTTGACACTCACATAGTGTCACCATATCCGGTGGAACCCACGAGCCCCCATACCCCAAGTGGTATGATGAGAATGCGCATTGTGAATATCACGGCGGAGTCCCAAGGCACACAATTGAGAACTGTTACGCATTCAAAAGGGTCATACAAAGATGCGTAACCAGAACTGGATCGACTCAACAACTTGGGGCATCCAAGTGAGGGAGATCATTTCATCATTGAGGCATTCTGTTTGAACTTTTTTTTTCCACTTTTTCAAGTTTTGTAAGAACGTGAACTGTGTTTTTTTTCTACTTTTTCAAGTTTTGTAAGAACGTTTGAATAAATTTATGTTACTTTAATGATGACGAGCAATGAATCATTTGTAAACTTGCATTCTTGAATATCATTTGAATTAAGAAACTCTGTGAATGGTTCAAAGCTTCGGATCTTTGACAAATAAACATGTTTTAAACAAGGACCTTGACCCTACTCAGAATATACCCTCAAATACCGTACCCTGCTCTTACAATTAACCAATACAACCTTTTCTTTTCATGAGGTGCGGACAACACGGGGCATCATTTGCATATGACAATTACTATGTTTTTATTTAAGACGTTCAATGACGATGAGAATCTTTACAAATGAAAGAGTCGGGTAGGTGAATCCGGTTTAGGTCAATTGCTTGAAAATGAACTCTAAAGATGAAATTTTTGACTTTCAACAACACCTAGACTATAACAGGTTCTTCTTAACAATCTTAAGAAATTAAATCTGTAAGCTGAGCTATTCCACTAAGGCAATTGGTTATAGAGGAAACTCGAAAGCCCTGGCTTTATGAATAGATGTCATTCAAACCATGACATTGCTCGGACACTTGGCAATTCGGTGTTTGCTCCACTGCTTTTGTCAGGCCGAAGACTTTGTGATGAGATGAACCCTTCAGTTAACTTGATAAAAATGATTATAATGATAAGTTGTCCCTCTAAAGCAATTGGTTAAGCGCCCCGGCTTTATGGATTCAGCTAGCCAGATAACGGCAAATTAAATCGAATTTATCTAAGCATGAAGTTTCGGTAAAATTGACTAAGGGAGTTAAGGAACACCTGTTATAGTCGACTACACACGAGCACTCAAGAATTTCATTTTTAGACCGATATTTTTCGCACTGCCTTTGTTGGAGGAGCCTACAAAGCTTGAACAAATGGAAGATTTCAGAGGACCGAAATAAAATGTCTAGTAATTGGTCATTCTAGTTGCGTCATTATGTCCGCACCCAAATGAAATGCCAAAGCATATTTCGATATTTTAAAAAAAATGACATTTTGGGTTACCAAAACCTTAGAAAGGAGGCTTACTTAAAGCCAACTCATCCATTTGAACATTTGTCGAAGATTTGTAACTCTGAAAGCATTAAAAGAGCTCTTGATTCCTTTGATATTTTTTGAACTCGCATTTACAATTTGATTCAATTGCGAACAATATTTTACAACATTTTTATCATGTCTCTCTCCTTAAAACAAGAAAAAGGAGAAAAACATTTTCAAGCAGAACAGTCTCAGATATGAAAGGTCTGTAAAGCCAAAGCTCAGGAAGCAAATGGGGCACGATCCATTCCAAGGACCTGATTGACAGACAAAGCACGAGACTCCATCCAGAAGATAACACATAATTCATTCATATTGCATGCATCTTAAACATACTTAGGTGCATCACATTCATCATTTTAGCATACACGTTTTTGCAGCTTTTAGAGTCAAGTTTTGACTTTAGGTTGAAGGATACTCGATTCTCTAGCGCCTTCAAAGAAGGATGGTGGTTGATTAACTCGGCAGTAAAAAGCTACACCTCAACCGACTTGACATCTTAGAACCAATTTCAGATAGGTTCGAGAACCAGTTCAAAACAATCCAGTTCGACACAAACTCAACCATGAGCAGTATGTTTCTAGTTAACACCTTCAAGCCAGGTTTCAATTTCACAACGAAAGGGCCATCCGTGATTTCAACTCCACGACGGAGGATATCGTGCCACTCGAGACAACACAAGTTCAACTTCACGACGAAGGGACCGCTGGTTGTCAACAAACAACTTCTCAATTTCAGAGCCAATTTCAACTTCACAACGAAGGATATTGGACTCCAGACAACGCAAGTTCAACTTCACGACGAAGGGACCGCTGGTTGTCAACAAACAACTTCTCAATTTCAGAGCCAATTTCAACTTCACAGCGAAGGATATTGGACTCCAGACGACGTATGTTCAACTTCACGACGAAGGGACCGCTGGTTGTCAACAAACAATTTCCCAATATCAGAGCCAATTTCAACTTCACAACGAAGGATATTGGACTCCAGACAACGTATGTTCAACTTCACAACGAAGGGACCGCTGGTTGTCAACAAACAATTTCCCAATTTCAGAGTCAATTTCAACTTCACAACGAAGGATATTGGACTCCAGACAACGCAAGTTCAACTTCACGACGAAGGGACCGCTGGTTGTCAACAAACAACTTCTTAATTTCAGAGCCAATTTCAACTTCACAGCGAAGGATATTGGACTCCAGACGACGTATGTTCAACTTCACGACGAAGGGACCGCTGGTTGTCAACAAACAATTTCCCAATATCAAAGCCAATTTCAACTTCACAACGAAGGATATTGGACTCCAGACAACGTATGTTCAACTTCACAACGAAGGGACCGCTGGTTGTCAACAAACAATTTCCCAATTTCAGAGTCAATTTCAACTTCACAACGAAGGATATTGGACTCCAGACAACGCAAGTTCAACTTCACGACGAAGGGACCGCTGGTTGTCAACAAACAACTTCTAATTTCAGAGCCAATTTCAACTTCACAGCGAAGGATATTGGACTCCAGACAACGTATGTTCAACTTCACGACGAAGGGACCGCTGGTTGTCAAACAATTTCCCAATATCAGAGCCAATTTCAACTTCACAACGAAGGATATTGGACTCCAGACAACGTATGTTCAACTTCACAACGAAGGGACCGCTGGTTGTCAACAAACAATTTCCCAATATCAGAGCCAATTTCAACTTCACAATGAAGGATATTGGACTCTAGACAACGCAAGTTCAACTTCACGACGAAGGGACCGCTGGTTGTCAACAAACAACTTCTCAATTTCAGAGCCAATTTCAACTTCACAGCAAAGGATATTGGACTCCAGACAACGCAAGTTCAACTTCACGACGAAGGGACCGCTGGTTGTCAATAAACAATTTCCCAATTTCAGAGTCAATTTCAACTTCATAGCAAAGGATATTGGACTCAAGACAACGCAAGTTCAACTTCACGACGAAGGGACCGCTGGTTGTCAATAAACAACTTTCAACTTCACGACGAAGGATATCCAACTCGAGAAGGCTATCTGCCAAAGACCCCCGAGTTCGATTACGCTCAGCTCTAAGGCACATCATTTGCAGCATAACTTAAGTCGAGAAGGGTTATCTTCTAACCAAAGATCTTTGAGTTCGACTACGCTCAGCTCCGAGGCACATCATTTGCAGCATAGCTTAAGTTGAGAAGGGCTATCTGCCAACCAAAGACCTGATGAGTTCGATTTCATTCAGCTCGATGACAGCGATAAATTGCTTTCTGGAAGAATTTTCAAGCCGAAATCTTTAAACCGAGAAGAAGACAAAGGCCCAATTCCAGGAAGCTCAATCACATTTGAGAACACCAGACAAAAACTGGTTGTCTTTTTCGTCTTTGCCCTATTCTTGCTAACACAAGAATGTGCAAAGAGGGGCAGCTGTAGACACCCGTTTTTGACCGGACTTAATAATATATTATATTATTATTATTATTATATTACTTATTATTATTATATTTATAACTATTATATTATTTTTGCAGACTCCACTACCCCACTATTATCTCAACTACACACCTACCCACCTACTCCACTACCACATGCATCAGGGAGCAAATGGCATGGATTTGGAGTGTTTGAAATTAGCTTTAAATAAGAGGGGACTTTTTTGAATTAGGGGGAGGGAAATTCCTCTCCTCTGCTCTTAATTCTCGCCATTTCAAGAGTATGGGGGGAATATCTTCACATAACACATTCTCAAATTTCCACCCAACTGGCAGCCTTTCCTTTCCTTTCTTTTGAGAGACAACTTCAAAGATTTCCCAGAAACTAAAAGTTGAATTCCTTTTGTCTTTCCACAATTTCTCTCACCATGATCTCCTTGCACAAAAGCTATTTTCTGAACAACACCGGCATTTCTGGGTCGTGAAATAGCAGCGTTTTGTTTGGGAACAACCACCCATTGAAAGAAACAAAATGATCTCGATTCCACTGTTTCCGGCGAAGACCCTGGGCTCTCCTACGACTCACACCACCACTCTTTCAATTCCCATTTTAACTTCAAAATCAATTTGATTTTGGTTTGCGTCTTTTGACTCGTTTCTTTTCCATTTGTGTATAGAGATGATCGATGGTGGGGGCCGAGGTGAGCGAATCCGAGAGCTCTTGTGGGTTTTTTCCTGTCATCGTCTTGAGCGAGGTGTTGTATACCTGTGACAACGAGATGTTTCCTCGTCGCGATGCCAACAACAGAACCAAGGCTTTGAAATATAAACTCGTCGCCATCGCATCGATCTTGATGGTCGGTGCTCTCGGCGTTTCACTCCCGATTCTCGCCAAGAAGATCACGACGTTTCGACCGGAAAACAACGCCTTCTTCCTAATCAAAGCATTCGTTGCCGGTGTATTCTCGCCACCGCCTTTGTCCATATACTCCATGACGGATACGAGTCCTTGTCCAGCCCTCGCTTCAGCGAAAAGCCTTGGAGTGTTTTCCCTTTCTCCTGCTTTCTCACCATGGTCTCGGCCATAGCCACGATGATGATCGACACGTTCGCGACGAGTTGCTACAAGAAGTCGCATTTCAACAAGGCTTTGCCGTGAATGGAGGAGAGGAGGTGAACGGGAAGATTGCTTCAATGAAGGCGATTTCCATCATTCTTCGACGAGAAACCACCAAAGCTCTATAACAACAAAAATGGCCAAAATGTCCACACAGAGAATTTGTGTGTATATACATGTCTGAGAAAATGTGATGAGATGAAACAAATGCCCAAAAGGCAGTGAATGGAGATTCTAGTTTTTTTCTGAGCAGTAGCTTTCATGGTATGTCGTGTGCTTGCTCAGTGAACAATTTAAGTTCAAAGATGCATCGCGGTCGCCGGAATCATTGGCGACCAGAGATTTCTCAGCCAGTGGACTTTCGTCTCGAACCGGAGACTGGGAATCGAAACACGTTGAAGAGGTGGATGGTAGCTTCCTGGACCGAGCATTGATTTCCAAACAGAGAAATGGTGGAGCATATGGCAGTCGGTCTTCAGCTACACCAAGGTTTGCAGATACTTATCCTGTTTTAAGTATCGGTTTTTGTGAACTAATTATTTAATTGATGTTTTCTGTGTTGGGCCTCTCGGTTTAGTGCACCATGTCTAAATGAACATGAAAACTTCCTTGAGAAAATGCATGCGTGAAAGCATGCACATCAATTGAAGAGATTTGTCTGTTAATGGTATCTAGTAACCATGGCTTTTGGAGTAGTTTTCTATTAATTTATATGTTTTTGCTGTTGTGTATCCCGCCAATATATATATATAATTTGACTGTGTAAAATACCAAGTAAAATATATGAACATTAGATGCTCATGTCTGCTACTCAAAATGCGGAACTTATATATAATTTTACCGTGTGATGCTTATTTTTTGGTTTTTTAAAAGAATTTCAACAAAATTAAAGGTAAGTAATTTGAATCGGGTTTTTAATTTTAATTTAAGTTTCCAATTTTCGCAATTAAAGACAATCAACAAATTAATTGGTACCGAAAGGACGGTTCAAGGGTGCTAATCCTTCCTTGACCGTAATCGACTCCCGAACCCGACACGTTTCTGGTACAACGCAGATCAGGTAAGATGGTGTCCGACCCACCTAAATTCGTTTTAAAGTGGTCGGTGGCGACTCCAACCCAATTATTTCAAGTCGAAGCCCAATTCCGGGGCCCAAACCGAAAGGCGGTTGCGACACCTTTATCAGACTCCATGCTAAGCGAAAGCCCTAGTCCCCAAATCCCTAGATACTGAAACAAATAACGAATGATAAAATTTCCCGAATGCAACAGAGCACGAATTACATTACTTTTTCGCAAATGAAAAACCCTTATTGCAGTGGCATCATTTGAAATCCTAACCCTAAACCACGAGAAATAGAAATGTACCACGGAAAATAAAGAGAGTGGAAACCCTAGAACTCCCAAATACAGCAGAGGCCCGAAATTCCCAATTGGATAAGGACCCCAGAATAATAAATAGGTAAAAAAAAAACTAAAAAGCAGCAGCATAAGCTTGTATGTGACGAGTACTGAAACAGGTGAAAAGGCATGGAATTTTGTTACGAAGAAGAAAGGGTTAAAATGAGGGTGGGAATTATTTACAATTTTTGGGCTTACAAATTGGGCCTCATTAAGGCACTGAATCGCTGGCTTATTAGGAATTGTACAATTAAATTTCTTTTGGGTAAAGTACACAAAGTGGCCACTAAACTATATTGGAATGATCTTTTTGGTAACTAAATGTTTAAAAGACACAACACTATTATTAAAATTATCTAATTATTATAAAATGATCAGTCCATCTTATAAAATAGTGATAAATTTTTGGGTAAAGTACACAAATGGAACTCGACTATAGGGTACTATTTTATTAAGTCTATCGATTATTAAAAGTTATAAAATAATTCTCCAATTATAGAATGTTACTTTGTTATGTCCCTCGATTATTAACAATTACAAAATGATTATTGACTATTTGTTATGTTTCAAACTCGTCTTTTTCTGTTGGTTTCCATATACAGCAAATTAAACTCTATACTAAGAATGGTAAATCCAGAAATGACAGTGTTAGAGGGAATGTTACTGGCAAAGGAATGTTGGTTGCCCCCAACAATTTTTGGGAGCTCTCTCGAATTGGCTTAATTTCGAGATTCGTGTAGTATGATATGTTTTAGAGAGTTCGGATAACATTAGTGATTTGCTCACTAGCAGCTCTTCTATGTTTCTTCATGACATACAAATTTATTTGTATAATTTGCTAAACTGGTTTAGAAGCCAACGATCTTTGTAAGGAACATCAGTGGGCCTTAAAAGCACATTATATCATTCAGATCAAAAGAAATGAGCCACAACGAGTTCTAATCCCAAATAAACGCACCCTTTTCGTGGGAGCAGATGGAAGCACCGATATCAGCCATGTCAAGCTGAATTTATCCCCTCCTTTTCTTTCAAACATTGCTCGGTTCTGCGTTGATGATTCGCAGTGTGTTCTTAATCTCCCTAAGTTGACGATAAGTTGAGCGAGAGGAAGGGTAATGTGACTAATGTCAACAAGCGGGATGACCCTTTCGTAGCAGCTTATAGGAAAAGCAGAGAGTACTGTGACGAGAAGTCGACGAGAACGATGCCTACGGCGGCACGAATCGGAGTAGGAAGAGCTGTTCTCTCTGTCATTGTAAGCATTCGTGCAGTGCTAGCTTGGATAATGCGGTTCGAGTGTCTCGTTGCTCGAAAGAAAAGGCAAAGGAAAGAAAATGCCACATAAAACTCGGTCCCCTAGCTTTTCCTTGCAAGTTCTGTCATGCTTGTTTAATATCATCCTGAATGATGTTGGATTTCCACAAGAAACAGTAGAAAGCCCTTTTCTATAAAATCAATCCATACCCCAAAACAACATTTAGAAGGCCAAAGCAAGGTTCACTCCAATTGCAACGTGCCTTTCCCATGGGAAAACAAGCCTGGTGTTCTTAAAGAAACAAACCAACAACATTATTTTCTTCGAAAACTGTTCCGACGACATCGGTCCATGACATTAAAATTCCTTCACCTCCACCCTGTGCGTATCACTCTATTTCGAGAGGATTCAATAAGAAATCCGATGACCCCTGTTTGCAGCTTATAAGGAGTACACCAAAAGCACTGGCAAAGTCAAGTTGGCCGAGAAAGATGGCGGCAGCGATGAAGGGCTTCTTTTATTTTTCTTGTAAAGGATCCGGAGAAGTCAGAAATGACAATTTCCTTAAACTTTCTCAGGTTGTTCTTCAAAAAGATGGATATCAGATCCGGGAGACTTTTTGAACTTTCAAACACCTTGTGTTAGTTTCTTATCGAGATTTGAATAAGATAATTAAACTTTTAATGTTTCTTTATTAATATAATTTTTTGGGTAACTACGTGGATGGTCACTTATGTTCGTGTTTTGTCCACTTTCAGTCATTGATTTCAAAAAACATAACATATGGTCACTTTTGTTTTTATTTTAAGATATGGTCACTTTCGTTTTTATTTAATTCAGATCCGGTCACCCCAAGTTAATTTCCATTAACAACAGTTAAATATTTTGATATAATCACATATTTGGTCTATGTTATTTACATATTCTCTTCATTTTTTGGTCTATGTTATTTATATATTCTCTCAATTTAGTCATACTTTTAATAAATTAAAAAAAAAATTAATCATCCAACGAATGATGCCACATGTCATGCCTCGTAGGAATATTAAAAAATACCCAAACCGATTGACCTGATATGTCGACAATGATGCCACATGTCATGCCATGTGGGGGTGTTAAAAAATACCCGATCCGATTGACCCAACATGTTGACCCGCCAACCTAGTTAAAAATATTGGGTATTTATAATAAAAATACCCAATTTTCTGGGTCGGGTAACTGACCCTCTATTTTTTCGAGTTTTTGAGTAAAATGTTGCTTAAACAGGTATCCGTTGACCTGATACCCGGTTTATTATATATTTTTAATTTTTTTATTTATATTTTATATTAAATTTTTTATTCATAATTCTCAAATTATTTCACTCTAACATTCTAAAATCCTAATTTCTTAAATTTTGGCACATAACGTTCTAAATTCTTAATTTATTAAATTATTTCACATTAACATTCTAAATTATTTTTTAAAAGATTTATTTTAACTTCAAAACATTTGAAATTTAATTATATTTTTTATTCTAATTTTAATAAATTTTATTTCAACTATGTAATTTAAATTTTTAAACTTTATGTGTGGATTATATATATTGTATACTTTTAAATTTTAGAATTTTCTATATAATTTAAAAATATATATAATTTAAAAAATAAAAAATTACGAATCGGGTGCCCGTGACCCAAATTATTTATAATATAATTTTATATATATTAACTTAAAAATATTTTTATATTACTTATTAAATATATTTTATTATAACTTAATTTAAAAATATTTTATTTTTATTTAAAAATATAATTTATTTTAATTTATTAAAAATAAGAATAAATTGATAGAATATGTAAATAAGAGGGACCAAATGTGTGATTATATCAAGATATTTAACTGCTATTAACGACCGTTAACTCGGGGTGACCACATCCTAATTAAATAAATACGAAATGACCATATATTATGTGTTTTGAAATCAGTGACCAAAAGTTGACAGAACACAAACATAAGTAATCATCTATGTAGTTAAGCCTAACTTTTTATATTTATTTGATTAAATTTGTTGTCAATACAGTACTTCAAATATACAACAACAACAAAACCCTATTTTCATATGCAATAGGGTAAGGGAGAGGTAGAGTAGTAGGCTGCCCCCAACGCATGGTTAAGAGCAGCTTCCGTGGAAGACCTCCGGCAGTCAAGTACTTCAAATATAATTTTCTTAAAAAATAACTTTAAGTAGTTATTTTAACTAAAAATTAGTTTAAGTATTTAAAAGGAAAAAAACATATTAGGTAATTGTTTGTAGTATAAGTCATCCTCCCAAATATGTGTCATCACATTTTTAAATTTCTTTTTTCCATGTAATGTCTACCCCTTTAAGATACCACATTTTCTCATATTTAATCTTGTGATGCTATTGTCACATGTCATCATCACATTATGGCACTCCCAAGCTCGGCTTTGATGACAGAGCATCTACCCAGATTCCGAGAAAATCCAAAAAGCCATTCACTTTCATAATTACGAATGAGACCCCCAGCGGCAGCCTTGTTGTCGATCTGATGGACTGCTCCATCGGAGTTGGCTTTCACCCAACCAACGGGAGCTCGAATCCACTTCATTGGAGGCGAGACGTGTCGAAAAGAAGCAGCTTTTTCATCATCATTTGCCCTCTCAATTTCATCAACAAGACGCTCACAGCAAGCAAAGAGGTTCTCCTTCTTCACGTAATCAGCATCAAAGATAATCTTACATCCATGTTTCCAAAGATACCAACAAACTACAGCAAACTTAATTGGCCATTTTTCCACGTTAGATGAAAACGTAACTGGCGCCTGCAAATTCAATTTGATCCACTCAAGGAAGGGAATGGACAGAGAAACAGTAAGCTTGTCCGCACTTAAAAACCTCGGCCAGATATCAACAGCTTGCTTACATTGGCGGAAGACATGGTCACTATCTTCAGCTCCACCGCCACAAATCAAACAGCCTGAGTCACTAGTGAGGTGACTCCGACAACGCTCAACATTAATGAGAATTCGATCATGGACAATGAGCCAGAGGAAGGATCTAATACGGTACGGGACCGCAAGCTTCCATAGCAAACTCGAGTTGAACTAGTTATTTTCCTCCAACGAGATATTAAGGGCTTTATAAGCAGACTTAGATAAGAAATTGTTACTTGCTTCCCATCGCCATCCAGGGACATCCGGTCCCAAACTATCATGAGCTGGTATGACAGTCATGATTTTCTGAACTATATGATTAGGAAGGAGGGGGGACAGCCTCTCCCAATCCCAAAATCTATCTGAACTAAGACAGGGACATGTATTGAATTTATAACTTCTAATTAAAATTCGAATAGAAAATAGAAATTTATGTGAAATCTATGTGAATACCTGAAAAAACCAAAGAGAACATAACTTCCATTTTGAACTCTTCAAACGATTTTATCAGTAAAGAAGAGTAAATACATTTCTTTGAATATCTCGAATTCGAATAATTATATCTATATAATATATGAATTTCTATAAATAATTAAAAAAATATTCTAAATATATACTTACTTTACTATATCTGAACTAAGACAGGCACAATCATCATGACATGTATGATTGAAACAAGCAAACTACATCTTAACAGTGAAACATGAAGACCATCTTCTTCACAACTTCATTTATAATCTCCTCTGCAATGGTGTTTCCAATCACTATCCCTATACCCTTCTTCTGTTCTTCATAACCATTCCATTCCTGGGTTGAACCCATTACATCTGATTCCACCAATTTCATTTTCTCTTCCTTGATCTTCTTTGCTTGCTGCAAAACCCTTTTGGATATCGAAAATGGCGAACAATTAGACTCATCA